TGCATCAAAGCATGATCTAAATGTCTGGATATGAATCAATTAAATTCTCCTTTTCACTTTGAAAAACTTGCCAGAGGAATAGCTTTCTTTCCCTATTAGTTGTTTGAGAGTTTGAGAGATTTTCTTTATATTCAGGTCCCTATAAAAAATCCTATAAAAAATCAGTCCAAGGACAGTTAATTTGGAAATCTGTAGGGTTTTTTAATGCCCATAAAATAGATCACGTTGTATTTTCTTTTATGACACAAGGTGAAAGCATAAGAGCCTCTAATATTGTTTTATGTTTGGTTCACTCTGAAATCAGAGAAAAAAAATCCAGAGAAAAAAGTCACTTTCCAAATTCTGTTATCCCTGCACCTACAAACAAAGGGGGTTATTGAAACTCCGTGCTAACAAGGCTTCAGGTACCAAAAAAGAAAGTTGTGCCTTCCTCAAGCATCCCCACAAAAGGAAGTGATCAGTCTTCAAAGCAACTGATAATTCATGGACAGAAAACAACAATGCTCAACCCAATAAAAGCAGCTCTTCTGCAGTGAGTTGGAAATCTGACCCCATTCCCAATAGCTGCCTGCAATAAAGCATGGAAAATCATGAAGCAGCTACCTGGCACTTAATACTGGGTTATTATTAGAAAACTATTTTCTTGTGAAGAAAAAGAAAAAAAAAAAGTAATTTTCTTGTACAGCTAAAAGAAAAAAGCAAATAACATCCCTTTCACCTTTTAAAAATACTAATGGCTCTATATTGAGTTTATTTGCAGCTGAAGTAAAAAATACACGGGACAAACCTTCCCTAGGTGCAAAATGATATTGCTCTGTGGGCTTCAGTGTAGCTATTTTCATTTATTCCAGGTCTGGACCTGGCAGAGGAATTTTAAATTTTTTTTTTTTTTTCCCCTGGAAAGGTAACAGCTGCCAGCAGCAAAGCCAGAAACATGCAGTTTCTGTTATATTTTGCTTTCAGATGAAATGGAATGTCTTCGGGGAGCCCAGAGGCATGCTAATGAGACAGGTTCAATGGAGATGGACACACTGAGGCAGCACCTTGGCCCCTGCTCTGGCTGCCCTGCGTGCGGAGCACGGCTCGGCGGCTGGAGAGGTGCCCTGAGGGGCATGGGAGGATTTCCATTGCACTGGGATTCTTGCTTATGAACTTTCATTAACACAGGGTTAATTTCTAAGGACACCAACGAGTCAAAATGTCTTGCAATTGTTCCAGGACTGCTACAGAGACGTTTTTCTATCCAAAAAAAAAAATTATTTGGATTCGTGCAAATGTATTTTGTTTGCAAAGGGGAATATTGAATGTTGGACTTGTTTTAACTCAGCAAATACTGTAATATTAATGTATTCACTGAGTGGATTAGGAAATTTATCTTGTAATTTGTTGCTGCTACTAGTTGTCATTTTTGATTCCTGGAAAAATGAAATAAGATTTAACTTCAAAAAGTTCTTCTTTATTATCTAATTAAATAAAGGTGGCAGATTAATTGACTAATTGGTGTTCATGTATAGATGGAGACATATGGAAAGGATTTAAGATTAGACATATGGAAAGGATTTCTAAGATCTGTAAGACTGTGAGCAGCATTTTATCAGATGTTTTGTATACAACACGTGACCTGCACAAAATGCTGCATTCAGCATATATGCCAGATTCATAAATGGGTACATCTGAAATTCAGCCTCGTGGACATATTCACAATCAGCAAAGATGCAGACTAGTAATTCCATTTTGGACACAAACACAGCAACAAGGAGGAATCTTAAATGCACACTAAAGTGCCATAATAAATAGTGAATTTTAATTTTTTTTTTAGGGACAGACCTTACCATTCATGCCCACACTGAGTTATACACAAACGCTTGAAAAATACCCATTCAAGCGGGTGGCAGCACAAAAGTGCCAGACTCTGAGTAAGATCTCAGCTGGCTGAGTTCAATGTGCACACAGAGGAACAAGGAGGGAAGGTGTGGGGATTTAAGCCACTCCATTTCAGCATTAATTCACAGGGAGGTGGTCTAGACAGCGGAACTCAACGCCGCAATGTACACACAGAGCCAACAGATACAACCACGCTCGCAGCAAAAAAAGAAAAAGACAGAGTCAGACAAGCCTTGCTAGAGAAAAACAGTTACATTCTGTTAGGTTAATGGGTTGCAATATCCCTGCCACATCTGCAATGGTTTTAGAGGATTTATACCTGTAGTGAAGCAAACGATGACCGCATTGCATTATCGTCTTTCAAATAAATACAATATATTCTTGAAATACTGCTTTGGTCAAGTGCCTGGGATTCTTGTTCGACTCCAGCAAAGATTTTGACTGCAACTCAGAATTGCAATGCTTATTTGGGAATTATAATAGAGCAAATCGCCACAAGGAAAAAAGTGGATGCTTTCATAAAAGTCTATGTCATTGCTACTCTGAAAATGACACTTGAACTTGGGATTTGTGTAAATGCTGTGATGAAATCTTGAAACACTGTAAGAATTTATCAGCTAGAGAACTCTTCACAATGGGCCAAATCAGTAAAGATGGCACTCTTTGTAAAGTTATCAGCTAGAAAAAGGAGGTTTTTTCCCCAAATACAGGTAGAAAGCCAGCAGTCACACCATGCAGGTGCCAGTGCTGGAAGAGGCAGGTTTTCTGACTACATTGAAAAGAAACTCTATTCGTATATTTCAAATCACATGAAATAGAAATTGCCTCCATTAGTGATCTTGGAGCAGTCACAGCTCAATTCTGGAATTAGGATAATTTCTTACAGCCTCACCCAATACTCCTGAGGAGTTTACCATGCCATGATACCAAAACAACTAATTTTTCAGCTCCTGGTGCAAAGGGCCCACAAATAAGGGATGATTTGAAGACAGGACTCAGTTTATTCTCTGGAATGTGGGTACCACATTTTTCTGGCTGTACCATCCCCTGCACACTTGACCCAACTGGGATATTAACTCTTAGCTGAAATATACCCAGACACCCACAGAGCCCTTAAACAATGAATAAGAAATTTGAAGATACTGATACTTTCCCTCAGTTTACTTTTCTGGAAGCAGCAAAATATCCCAGTTTGTCAAATTTAAAAGCCTTAACCCTTCCTAATCCTAACCATAACCTTAACCTAGCCCCAGACCCTGGCTCAGAGAGCCCTGCCTGCAAATCAAAAAGAATAATTCCATCAAAGCTCGTGATACTTTGCTCTTGTTTTATCTCCAGGAATTTGCAAAGTCCCACACTCATCTTGGCTGCTGCCTCCCTGTTTTTTCTACTGCACAGCCCCACTGCAGCTGAAAGCAGACAACAACACCAGAAACTGGGACATTCCTGAGTGTGACACCGAGCACTCCTGACCCCAACCCCAAGTCCAGCCTAACTGAGCTTGGGAACTGAAGGGAGACTCACAGATTAGTCATGCTTTTTGTTCACCTGTCTGAAAACTGCAAAAGATCCCAAACCTGGACCTTATTCCTAACCTTAGGTAGGCATGGGAAACATCTGCCAGCCTCCAGCACAGAATGGGAGAGCAGACAGCAGACAAAGCATAGGGGTTCAAACCAGCACGCCCAGAACAGGGCTGACTATGGCAAACCTTTTATTAAAAGCATCTCAGATTTTATATTAAATAATTTAGCAGCTCTTACTTAAGGAAATATAAGAAAACATGCATAAACTAGTTTCATAAAAACCTAATTTTATGTAGTGAACACTGTGTGCTAATTTCCCTATTGTTAGCAGGAGTATAAAACATCTCAATACACTGTGAGGCACTGAAATAGGCAAACTAACATAAAAAATACACTAATAATACTATTTATAATTTCTGCCTACTCCTTATATAATAACTAAAGAAAGAAAGGGGAAATACAGGTTGCGAAATCTTATTTTTGAGAGGTTATAACCCAGCCTTTGTGTTCACTTTCACGATAAGCCCAAATTTCCTTCTCAAGCCTACACTTAAAACAAGAGAGAAGCAAAAGATTGAATCAAGACTCTGTGAGTTATGAGGAATACTGTATACATTAAAATAAGAATTAATAATGCCTCAGAGGATCTTAAAAACTGTTGACAGACCCATGTGTCCCCCTATCCAGATATGTCCATGTGTGTTGTTTCCAAATGTGAGATTTAACTAAGTCTGTCAGGTACCAACTCACATTTTTCTTATTTTCTGTCACGTGCATCAGCCAGTCCTTTCCTCTAACAAAGGAACCACAAATTGTTGTGGAGGTGACTCACTAGAAATACATCCCAAGGATGAGTTCGGGGAAAAAAAAAGAAGAAAAAAAAAAAAAAAGAAAAAACATGAGAAAAACAAAACTATCCCTGTTGTAGCTGTGTTCTCTGATTTTGCAGAACTCTGTGTTTTCCTGCAATCCCACCCAGGTTGCCCATTCCCAATTTACAGGGCCCGCACGCCTCCCCATGCACCAGCTGCGGCAACTGAAAGTAATTATCACTCCAGACACAATAAGGTGTTAAAGGTAGTGGCGAGCATTTTGTGCAAAAAGAAAAAAAAATTAGGAAGGAGGGAACCTGATGAAAGGAGATTAGTGTCTGTTAGTCTTTTGGAGAGGAACAGGGGAAAGCAAAGAGGGGAAGAGAAATAATAAATAACCCCGATCCTTAGGGAATACTTGCATACGTGGCAGACAATGAAATAAAAGTTTTCTTTGAAGAGCGAGTTCCTTTTCGGATGAAGTAAGCGGCACCAAAATGAAATCACAGAGTTATGTTACAGCTGATGTATAACTGATCAAAAGAGCAACAGGATGGAGTTATGAGAACAGAGGTTGGGAAAAACAGAATTAAACCAAAACACACTTCTTTGGAAAATAACCTACGGGACCCAGGGAATGGGGATAGCCACTGCCAGGCTGCTCACGGAGGCTCTGCCTCAGGAGCAGCCTGGCAGCTCGTTCAATACCTGTCCTGAACTTCTCCTGGGGGTGGGAGGGAAAGGGAACAGACAGCACACGCAGGAGGGAAAATCTTACTGGAAAAGTTGTCAGAGGCAAGGCAGGGAGGGCACGGAAGAATAGGAGTTCGCTCCCAGGAACGGCAGCAAGGTCGGATCCGTTCTGGCTCTCTGTCTCTTTCCAGGGGATCTAATTTGCAGTGAAGCCCCTGGGACTCCTATCCCCAGCACTGGTAGGAATGAGATCACAGCCTGAGTATTTGTTCTACATTTTCCAAGAAAGTAGATTTTAGTGCAGCAAAGGACTCACATAAGGATCTCTGTGAATGACTCAGGAACGCGCACACCGAGAAATGTGTGGGAGCTGTAGAAGGGAATTTTTTTAAAGTCAGTTACATTTCTGCAAGGGGTAGAAGTTTATTTATTTATATAGGTAATAGCTGCTCATTCTTATCCCACTTTCACAAGTTTTTTCCTCTGAAGTTATTCCATTGATGATTTAATGCCTGCTGAACAGCTTTTCCAGGCATGGTCAGCTCTGCTATGGGGTAGTGTCCAGCAGCTATAGATGAAACTGGTGATAACCCCTTCAGCTAACACAAAAACCTGCAATACAAGCTGTAATCAAGAATACCCAGTCTTTTCAGTGTGTAAACCCCCACTTTAGCTGTCTATCTCCTAATTTCTGTGATAAGTTCTGGATTCTGATGAGTCTCCTGTTTATTTAGTGAAGCACAAGTAGAATCGGACATGGAGCAATGTGAAATATTTCCAAAGAAATTGCACCCAACTTGTCTGCATTGTTAGAAGCTTCCAATTCAACAGAGCTCACAGCTAAAAATACAGAAATTGCAGTCTATGGAGCATTCAAAGCAAGGACTGGTTTGCACAGCTGTAAACTAATGTACATGTTTTCACACAGATTTTCTGCATTTGAATAGCTCTGACTTCAAGCTACACAAACCTTTCCACTTGTCTTTTGTACTGGATATTTGTGAATGCTGTAAAATCCCCAGCTTTGGAAATGTGACCAGTTACAAATTTAAGCGAAGAGTTGCGATTTGGTTTGGGTTTTGTTCACAAATCTCTGCAAACCAAAAGACACCCTTATTGGCAGAGCTAAATAACCTCTCCAGTGCCCCTCTGCAAAACATCTTCCAGCCTCATGGAGACAGGAATTAGCTCAGATGTTCCAGAGCAAAAAGAAACACCCAGAGCCAACTGGAAAGCATCACATACAGCACAGCAGGCCTGCAGCATCGACTCTGATGTGTCCTTGACACATCTTCTCTCTTGGTGGTAGAACAAAGGTGCTATCAACAGGTGATTCAGGGAGGGAGAGGCAGCCCATGTGCATAAATATATAAATATATATACACACACACATACACACATGGAAGTCTAGTGCTTCCTGAACCAGCTTTCTGCTGCTGCCTGCTTTATTTCTAATTACTTCCCTCATCAAAAATATAATGATGAATCACCTTAGCAGGCAGTCAGCTGCAACTGAAGCAGGATGATACTCCCCGAACTTCTTTTGGGAGTATAGGAATTTACTGATTACACTCTTCCTTTGGAAGTTTGTTCCCTCAGTAGAAATTCCTGCTCATTTCCTCTACCCACTTTTTAATCTCAGAAATTATTCAGTATGTATTGGGACATCAGGATGTGGTACTTGGGGACGTGGTTTAGTGGTGGACGTGGCAATGCTGGGTCAGTGCTTGGAATTTATGATCTCAGAGGTCTTTTCCAGCCTTAACAATTCTGTGGTTCTAAACACAAGCTGATTGTTGTTTGTGTTGCTACACAGCGCTATCAGTTCAGTTCATTTCCATATCACCGGTATTAGAATTTTATGGGATAAATCAGGCACATATACCATATTCAATGGCTATGTGTTTTCAGTTTCTGAAGCTAGAAAAAAAAAATTAAGAAGAATTTTTAAAAAGAAAAAAAAATCAGGACATTAGGCAATCTGCAGAAGGGATTGTAAATAAGAATAAATTTGTTTATGGCTTTTATTCATTGTGAGGACAAGCTACTTTATATGGGCCAAAGTAAATAAAAATACTGGATGGTATAAAAGGTCTAGTAAAGAAATGTCTGGAAGAGGTTGAGGCTACTGATTTTGTTTAAGGGTCTATCTCCTTCAAATGCTTGTACTTGCAGGTAACTCATGTTGAAGTGATCAAAGTTACCTTTACATGCACACATTGACACAACTGGCCTCAAAGTCACCTGAAGTGCGTGAAAACATTAATTGACACAAGGGTGAGTACTAAAAAAGGAGCTGTTGTGGACTCAAAACTGTGTAGCAGTGCTTGAAAGCTATAAAAGTATAACATAACACAGGCATTAAACAATTCCACATTGTTAACACAGGCCATTACACTGATGCCCTGCAATGTTTCCTTTGCCACTTCTCCCATATTAAGAGAATGTTTTTCTAGACCTTCATCATTCCCTGAAGCAAAATCTGCTGTCTGGAAAGAACAAGACCCAAAGCATTATTTGTACATCCACAGGCATGAAAGGCACAAACAGCATTCAGTTCCTCCTGACTGAGACAGAGAGCACACTACAAAATCTCCAGAGCGATTCCTTCCCCAGCACTTTCACTAAATATTCAAACTGGGGAGAAGATTTTCAGAATTATACAGGGAGGAGTCCAAAATTCTGTTGATCAACAGCCAGCAATTCAGATATTAAACTGTTTGTGATCCATCACTTCAGTCTTTTTCTGAACTTGCCTCATGGGGAAACACTACAAAATAAAACTTCAATACTCCCATAAGCTCCAAATAAAGCTTTTCTCTTTGATTGCCTCTATCTCATCTGTCTGCTTAGATTTGTGTGCCTAGTTAAGTGAATACAGAAGACCATACACTTGAAATGAAAACTACACAGAGTACACTCTTGACTTGTTACCATAATTTACCTTCTAAGTGGAACCTCTTATGAGCCTACTCAATTATATTTAAAATGACTGCACCTTTATTTCAACACAGTGTACACGCTGAACCTGCGGTCGAAAATCCTGAGCTGATGTAAAATTGCAGAGCCTCATCAAAATTCATAGGGGATTCCTGACTTACACCAGCCCACACAGGGTCCCCAGAACCCATCACACTGCAATGCTTCTCCCATGGGGAACAATATTAGTGTTAAGCAATAAAACCAAGTTGGTTTTATGTCTAATGCTGATTTCTTTTCTGATATGATAGTTTAGTTTATGCTTTTTCATGCAACAATACCTTGAATACATGGCAGGTTTACACTGAAAAACACAGTTTAAAAATACTTGTTAAATGCTGAAGGCTTGACAGTTCCTTTAAATAATACTGGGGGGAAAAAATGCACAAGAACATTTTGGTAGGGGAATGAAAAATGCTGCAGTTTACAGCAGTATGTCACTGAGAAATTAGTATAGATTTTTTTTTTTTTTTCTCTAGGACTACTGTCAGGGCTGGCAGGCCTAAAATTAGACATACCAGGTATGCACTTCACAGTGTCCCTCAGGTCTGGCTGTCAGCTCCCTGGGAACAAGATTCCTGTATATTTCAATACCCTTCCTGCTCCGTGGATCCCCAAGAACAAAGCCAACGGGCAGAGGCAGCACTTCATGACACGCATCTCTGCGAGCAGGAAACAACCCATCACCTTGGGGGCTGTTGCCCAGGGGCTGCCTATTTAAAAAGCAGCATTTGGAAATAAAGAAATTTTTAGATGGAATCTGGAATAGCAGGAACTGAAAGGCGGGGGACTGAGCTGTTTTCAAATATTCAGTATTATTTTGAAGTGATAATCAGATATGAAGCGAAAAAATAAATCAATGAGTTCTCCAGTGATAAACTATCAATATTAACTAAAGGTCAAGAACAGTCAGATTTTGTTTGTCTTAGACATTGCTTTTTGCAGTTGACATTAATTCATTTGAAACCTGCACCATTTGCCACTGCTTCTTTTTTTTTTTATTTCCATTTTTGGAACAAAACCTGACTGTAGGGTCTCATTTACTACATCATTTACCTTTTTCCAATTACACAAATGACTGAAGTTGACAGTGGCATGTTTTTGAGTATAAATATGATAATTTACTACTGGGAAAGAGATAACATGATCCTCTTTATTCTGCCATGCTCTGCTTGCAATGCTGCGCAGAATCTTAATTGAAAGATTTTTAAATAGTAGCTAAAACATTGTTTAGGTTTTGTTGTTGTTTTGTTGTGTTCTTTTAAATAACAGCTCTTGAAGCATTTTCTTTTCTTCTACTCTGTGTCCTTTTGCTCCTGCTTTTCATCCATTCTGGTATAACCGACTCTGTCTGGATCATGAGTTATCATTGGCTGCCAGTGGAATGCTACAGTGCAATTTGTCTTATTGAAACATGGGCTAGCCCCACATGGCTGCAAAGAATCATTCACTTTCTAATAAATCAAACATTTGGTAAAATTCCTTCTTCTCTGACATGAAACGGTAGGACAGACAATGCCGCCTGTGAACTGAGAGGAGATGGTGATAAAAACGCCTTTTTTGTTCAGCGCTACTGAATTATTTTGTGATTAGTGAATTGCAACTACCAAATTCAAGCTCGCATCCTTGGCTGGTATTTTTTTTTTCCCTTTCAAATTCAATCACTGTACTGTTTGTCTACTGTAAATAGAATGTTTCTGCACTTTACATAATTATCAACATTGTTTTTCCATTTAACAGAGAGAAAATCTTCGCCCCTTCATAATCACTGCAAATTTTGCCATGAAAACACAAAATTCTAAAGCCATGCTATTATGTCTCTGACAATCTTGGAAAAATATTTGTCTGATAGAAGGCTCAAAATTATGGAATATGAAAGGCTCAAAGAAGAAATAAATTTTTTTCTTGTAGCGTAACTAAAACTTTGAAAGTTACCATGAGAGTTGCTTCTCTGCAGCTGCAGCTTTTCTGCCCAATCTTTGGAAGTCGGGTTATCTGGAGGGGACATCTGGGATTTCTAACAGTAATTACAACACATTTTGAACTGCGGAAGTGACATTATGGCTATCATCTCCTCAGGAAGAACGATAAGCCAGGATGAATCCTGAGAGTCCATCAATCCCCACCAACTGCATCTGAGCCGAGTGTTAGGCTCGTGCATTAAGTTCCTCACATGAGATCTTTTAGGATGACTTTATTACTTCTCACGTTTTATGCTGGTGTTAGGGTCTCTTAATGCCGCTAATTCTATCTGCTAAGATGTCAAACATCCCCCGTCAGGAA